GAGTTCAATAGACTTCAGTGGCTCCCTTTTTATGAGGAATGTAAAATAGCTAAATGCTGCGTTGCGTACGAACGTATCAAGCGTGAAGTACCCTTATATACTGAAGGTTCTTTAATAGTTAATAGTCAGCAACATAATCGTGCTACAAGATATAACAACACTAATTTTATTTGCCCAAGATTTAATCGTATTGTTGTGAGGTGAATTGAAAGTTGTTGTTTTGAGACTTTTCTAGTTAAGCATTTTGTTTTGTTAAGCCTTGCCTTTTGCGCTTACGTGTTGTTTGGTAGATTTATATTTTTTTGGCTCAGCTCGCAGATTTCCTTGTTACCTTAGGCCGTGTTAGACATTTAGACAATTAGACAGTTTCACAGGTAGTCGTGTTTACGTTGGTAAAGTTAACCTTGAGTTCTATCCTCACTGAAGTTCCTGTTTACGTGCGCAATTCTGTGTGCAGCTGTTGGCGTTCAATTGGTTTGCGTGCGCGATTCCTGTACGCAGCTGTTAACGTTCAATTGGTTCCTTGGCGCCCGTCAAATTGCTTCGGTGAGGGCCAACGAGTTTTCCCCTTTTTGCAAAATAAACGGATACACTAAGGAAACTCTCACGGTCAGCTAACCCAAACATGTCTGTGATTTTTGTATTTAACACGTGGGCACTCCTCGCTGAGTAGTAGAAGAAGAAAAGATCTGATGCGTTGTAGTAGGAGAGAATAAAAAAGAGAAGAGTATAGAGTCTCAGCACTTCTCGTTAAAAGCTACTTTGTAGTTTGATGTCTTGGTATAAGACAAGAGCCAACTCAGGAGAGGAAAATAAAACCAACAAAGCTTAACAAAGTTCATAAAGTTTATTTTTTTAACTTATCGATATTGGATCGATCACATACAGCGAGGTATCTACATTAAAAAAAAAATAGCCATTGAAAAAGGGAAAAACGCCGACATAAAATAGCTTCAAATTCATTCCTTGTCACCTCTATGAATATCATTTTTGACCATAACTTTTTTTCAAATATTTTCCAAATTTCCAGGTTTCTGTTTTTTTTTTTTTTCAGTACGTTTCCGATTTTTGAACAGTCCTATTTATTCCATCAAGATGTAATAATAATGTCGAAACGATGCTATCCACAACAGACAGGCCTCTGTGGGTAGCTTTGATGCCTCTGAAATAGGAAAAAACACGTTATATTAAGACGCAAAGAGATTATTGAATTTCATCCCTCTGTGCCTTAAAAATCGTAAGTCGTACGGTCCACAATAAAGGATGAATATCCCGCATTGGGAGCCCGTGAGAACACAAAGACAATACCTGAAAATGCCTCTAAGCGCGGAAAAACGCGCCAACCAGTCAATAGAACGAAGTAAAGCAACAACGATGCACTCTCGGATTAATTTAGACAACAATTGAAACGTTATCTATTAAGTTAACAAGTTAACATACTTTTTTGTTAAGCACAGGAGGCCATCTTGAATGAGATCCTTGACATCCTGATTATCTTTGAATGCATCATATAAAGACAAACCAAACGGGGCGACGATTTTCCAATTCTGCACCGTGAACAAACACTAAAATGTTTATTCAGTACCGTGCGTCATTAAGTTCTAAACAATTCTAAACTTAAATGCCCAAATCAACAAAAAGACAATTTCAAGGGAAAAATCTCAAAGGTTGTCGATGGTTAAAAAACTGTTGCTCTAATTCACAAAGTTTTAGAGGACAAGTAACCTTACATACATCCACCAGTAAGAGAACCACAAACGGTAGGTAAGGTTAGCAACCTTTGTGCTAGAGTCAAGTGAGCCATTTGGCCCGAGCTTAAATTAGTTTTTCTGAACATGGTCAGACATTCGGATTTCTGTGCAAAATTCAGCATCTCTATACATTTGCTACCTGGATTAAATTCCTTTGATTTACAAAGACTTTCAGTAATATAGATGTATTATTTTTTATAATGATTATAATTATTACAACTTATACCTCAGAACTAAGACCATCAGCAGTCCTCAAACTCATCATAAGAACTTCTTCTAGTCTGAGATCAAAGGAAAGACTTTTATCAATGTACCATTTTACAACAAACTTTGAGCAAATGCTAAAAAGTTACTCTGAGGTAGTTTTGGCAAGCCATACCCTTTGAAGTCACACCTAGGATTCATTAGCACTTCACACAGTTTTCTTTTCAACTGTGTGAACACATACACTTGAGGTAAAGGTAAAGTCTGTTTACGAGCCTAGTGGCCCGTGGGCCAGTGCTTAACTCTGGTTTCTGTAGCATGAAGCGACTAGGAGTATTTCTACTCCCACCTGGATGGGATGCCAGTCCATCGCAGGGTTACCCCCAGCATTAAATTGCTGGTACCCATTTATACACCTGGGTAAAAAGAGACACTGTGAGAGTAAAGTGTCTTGCCTAAGAACACAACACAATGTCCCGGCCGGGACTTGAACCCGGACCACTCGATCCGGAGTCGAGCGCACTAACCATGAGGCCACCGCACATCCACCACATACACTTGAAGTAGACTTTTAAGGCAATTGTATGAGTCATGTGTCTTGCTCAGAAATGTAGCAAAAATTAACCATACCAGGGATCAAATTCAACAGGGCTCTTGTTCCAGAGTCAAGCTCACAAACCATTACGACACTGCCATGCCCCACCAGCAAGAAGGTCAAATAAATATTAAATTTTCCAGAACAAATGTCTCATACTTACATCTCAAATTTTGTTTGCATTACTTCTTTTCTAGTCCCATGCCCTCTTGTTTCAACCTTAAAACAAACAAAAAGCTGGCTCAGTGTTGAAGTAACAACACAAAGCATCACAACACATATTTACATAAAGAATATGAAAGATGGTAAGTTTTGAGCTCGGTAAAGAAATATAGAAATATGTTTTTTTGCCTAATCACGAGTGTGGGACAAAGAAAAACTTCTGAGCCCCAAGAGGAAACAAACCTCAAACCTTGGGATTCTGCGCTTTGACTGCATGCTCTACCACTAAGCCCCAGAGACTCGATCTATAGTCGGCAAGGCCTTGCTCACCGAAGAGTCTCTGTGGGAATTGAAATTTTTCCTTTGTCCCATGCTCATGACAAGACAAAAAAAAAACATCTTTACATATTTATATATGGCTTGTTGAATAAACTTTCAAGAACTTAGAAAGAAAGTTACACCTCTGTCATCCATTGGTTTGGTTCTAGCGTCTGCACTCTTGCCTGCCTCAATCCATTGCCATTTCCAAAAGGTATAAATCTACAGAAGGCAAGAAAAAGGTACACCGCTTATGGTTCCTGGCTTCTGTTGCTATTGACACAGACTTAAAGATATAAATACCATTGTTGTTCTAAAGTAACACATTTTGTTTTTGATTATTATTAATTTTCATCAGATGGTGAGTTTAATTAAAAAATGTATAATAAATAATTATATTGTTTTCTATTACTAACAATCTTTCTGAAATTCATACTCCTCCACAACTGATGACTTGAAAACCCTGTACATACCTGCCATGAGCACCTGGTCCCACTCCAACGTACTGTGATCCATACCAGTATGAAAGGTTATGTCTGCTTTCTGCACCCTGGACCAAAAAATTATACCACATAATTTATACTTTACATCCTTCACTAATCCACAATGAACATTTCATTTTAATTTACAATAAACATTTTGTATCACTAAGTTAATATTCACCAGGATTAAAGACCAATAATTACTTTATTGGATGAGATAACAAATAATTATAATTTTAACTCACTGTTTTTGCAAAGTTGGCAACCTCATATCTGTGGAACCCATTTGCAGTCAGGGTCTGACAACAATGATAGTGGTGATGGGCAGGCATATTAACCAAAAGAAAAACAAATCAATATTCATTTGATCCAATTGTATCATGACACACAGAACCCACCATTTGTCTCAACTTAGAGCAAAAACAGTTTATAAAGAGTTACTGTAACAGTATGAAGTATAATTAGCATTGCTGAAGTGAAAGAAAATTTTTTAACAGAATATTAATACTGCAGTTATTGGGCTATAAGATGCACTGGGTTATAAGACGCACCCCAAACTTGGCAACTTAATAGCCAAGCCAAGTTCCCAAATGGAAATTTTTGTGAAAATACTCCGTTATAAGACGCACCAAAAGGTTGAGAGTTAACAAAAGGTGTGATGGATCTGAAAAAGTTTCACAGTTGCTCTGGCAGTGAAAGCAAATGGCAAAAAACTCCCAGTTCTACAGCTGAACATCAAAAGGCCACAGAGTTAATGACCAACAATTAGTGTTCTTTTCATGTCTTTATAACTGTAAGTTCTGCTACAATTGTGATCTTAAGATTTTGTTGCATGAAAAATTAATACTCGGTTATAAGACGCATCCCAAGTTTTGAACAGATTTTGATCAAACAAGTATATTTTCTTGTAAAAAATGGTGCGCCTTATAAGTGAATAAATACGGTACTCTTGAAATTAATATCAACTGAAAGCAATCTTTGTAGTAACAAACATTACTTGAGCAGTAGCGAGATTTTGAAATAATATTGTTGTTAGCTTTTTCT